TTGTCAGCCCTGTTACAGGCTTGATTTGTAAACCTTGCCATGCACATATCTGGATTTTAAAAAAAGTAGCTGTGTAAATATGCACACACTCTGTGGACCGTGCGTATACACATTATTTCATTGATGTGGTCGAACTAATGTAGTTAACAGAACGATTTCCATTTACACTTGTTTAAACACATCAAATCATTAGTAGGACATCTAGTTGTGAACATATTAAGCTACAGGAGAAAAAGTCATTCATAAAAATTAACGTCACTTTCAAGACAGACAGACAGCTTCAGTGATCTAAATGTTGTTGTTTTTTCAATGTAAGACAGCAGCAGGGCATTTTAACATGTGTTAATAAATTTCATTGGCCTCAGATTTATGGAATTTTTACTGAAGGAACTGATCCGTCTTGTCTCTCTCACCTTTGTATTTTCTCAAGGCTCAAACTTTTTCTTTTCTTGTCTTCCAACACCTGTATATTTTCTTGATGCTCACATTTTTAGAGGGAGGCCATCCTGTAGGTTCTATATGACTTATTGAACCTGTTGTGTTTGTTGATGACTACAAGCACAAGTTCTTCATCTTCTCATCACCCTTTTTTTCTGCCAGTTTATAAATGAGAATAAATCCTTTCTGCTGCTTATTTTGCTGCTACATTCAGGCTCCTGTACATCCATCTTTTTGTATTTTCTGTTTTGCTTGTTTGTTTTGGATTTCGTCTTAACATCCCCCCCCCCTCCTTTTTTTCTTTTTCTTTTTTTTTCTACAGATGTGTGACTTTTGCGCTGTCCGTCTCCATCCAAGCAAGCTTTGCTTTTGCAGGTGGTGGAGTTGCATATTCAATCATCTTCTCCTTTTCTTGTCTCAGATCCACCTCCACAAGCATTTCACTCTCACTCTCATGCTTTTCAGGAGTTTCATCTTCAATCTCTCTTTCCTTCTTTATCGTCTCTTCCTCAGCCTTGGTATTGTGTGCAGTGCTGATGTCCATCCAAGCAAGTTTTGCCTTTGCTGGTGGTGGAGTTGCATCTGGACATTTTATAGTGGAAGGGCCTGTCTTTTTCTCCTCCTTTGTCCTTCTACTCCTTCGACACTCTTGCTCCACCTTCACAGGTGCCCCCTGAATTGTCACTGGTTTGTCCACAGTGGAGAGAGATGGCAGTATTTCATCCTCAGCAGGCAGAGTGAGATGTTGAGGTGCTTTCTACTGTGGGGGAGGAACGTGGCAATTTCTTCACCTCATCAGGTGGAGTTTGGTGATCAGTTTCCTCAAACTGAACCATCATTGGTTCTTCCACAGCAGAGAAAGATGGCCACGTTTCCAACTCATGAGGTAGATGGGTGTTGAGCAGCCACCTGACTCAATAATGGCTTTTCTGTGGTTGAGGAACTTGTAAATATTTTCACTCCAGCAAGTGGAGTTTGATATTCAGGCTCCTCCACGTGAATCATCAGTGGCTCCGCCGCAGTGAAGAAATCTGCAAGGATTTCCAGCTCAACAAAAGAGTCCTCAGAGCCTCTCTTTTCCTCCACCTCTGTATCTTCTCTGTACTGTCTTTCCATCTCTGCTCTTTTAAATGAATCGTTTGCTTCTGTTTATAAAACTTCTCTGACCGATTAGTTTGATTCTCGAGTCACTGAACCAAAATTAAATTTTGAGCTTGTGAGCAGATACTGACAGCTTTTAATGGCAGTAGAGTCACCAACACAGACATGATCAAATCTTTTTTTGACAGTAGACCGTCAGTATTCATCATTTTCATCCAACAATACACACGGTCAAGACAATTGTGCTGGGAAAGAGAATGAAGCAAAGTAAATCTACTATGTTTCTGGCAACACCTGTCTGAAAAAATGTTATTTTGTTAAATCCTGAAGTTGCTAAATTAGATAAAACATTACATTAAGAGCAAGTTTTATGTAGATTTGTGTATTTAAATGGAGTTTTGCTCAAAACAATGAAATGAATAATATGAATTTACAGTAAGCTGTTAATAAAAATATCATTAGGATGCATTACTTTTGGATAATATTTCGCATAACGTGCTACGTTTTAACAGCAACGATTGCTTGTGATAATTGTACTTTGTGCGCTACACTGCAGAAATCAAACTCTGAGAGATACATAATGATCAATGGATAAGGAAGATTAAGATCTTTATAAATTACGTGACCATATAATATTGTTTTGTCAGTTATTCTCCAGTCCGACGGGTGGCGTTATCGGACACATTCACCCAGACATTACTATCGAGACCTTAGGCGTGTACAGAAGAAATAATTCACTTCTGTTGATGTGTTCTTCCTGGACTGTTTGCAACTTTATAGATAAAGAGCATACTTAAAGGGAAACAACCATATTCGTTTGTTTTATTGTTCTAGATCTAATTTAGTCATATTCTGCTTCGATGTGTGACCATGTAACTCGTGAGCTATTCAGCTGACTAGGAAGTCAATTACTAACTTACAGTTGTCAGAACAGGGAAATAATACAGTTTCATTTTGTAGTATTATAGTATTTTAGACGTTTTTATTTAGGCATCATGCACAGAAGAGGAGTCGGAGCTGGAGCGATCGCCAAAAAGAAACTTGCAGAGGTACGAGGATATCACTTCTGCGAGATTTATTAACTAGGCACATCTTTTTCCATCTTCATCCAGCTCATTTGTTTACTGTCACAGGCAAAGTATAAAGAGAGAGGTACTGTCCTTGCTGAGGATCAGATTGCGCAGGTGCGTATACCCTGATGAGCAATGCATTTTGAATGCAAGCAAACCCTCACAGCTGTACAACTGCATTGACCCCATTCTAATCAGGCCGTGTGTGATGTCCTTGTAGATGTCAAAACAACTGGAGACCTTTAAGACCCATTTGGAAGAGTTTGCCAGCAAGCACAAACAAGAAATCCGTAAGAACTCTCAGTTCAGGGTGCAGTTCCAAGAGATGTGTGCCACCATAGGGGTTGATCCACTTGCGTGTACGTTTTTCTCATAAAGATTTCTCTTGACGCAGAAACACGATTTAACATGAGGGTGTACCGTGTGTTCAAATGAAAACTGTGTGGATTCGATATAAATATTATAAATGATTATATAAATTGTCAATATAATTATTATATAAAATATTGTAAATTAAAATGATAAATAATGAGTCGTGATTAAAATATTATGATTATAATGAATTGTGCAGATGTTATAATAGTAATAATTAACTAGTATACATTAAAAAATATATTTTTATAAATTATTACAAACTGTAATTCTAATTACAGAACTGTAATTATAAAGAGAAATATATTTATTTAATATTAGAGTGTACAGTATGCTCATGAAACATGTGGTTACATTGATTAATAATTAGTATACATTATTAGAAGTATAATTGTTGTTAATTATAATTTCAGAGAAAATATTATAGTGTACAGTGTGCTCATAAGAAAACTGGATACATTATAATTATTAATTAATTTGTTAAAATTATTATATCAATTACAAGTACAATAATTACATAATTATGGTATTCTTTTCTCGTTTGCTGTATGTGTGCAGCTGGAAAAGGATTTTGGTCTGAGATGCTTGGTGTTGGAGATTTCTACTATGAGCTTGGTGTACAGATCATTGAAGTCTGTTTAGCTCTAAAACACAGAAATGGCGGTAAGTTTTGGTCTATTTTTTACCTTGAAGATATTACCTATGTGTTGCAAAACAAATTGCACGCTCTATTAAGCCAAATCTTTACTTATTACACGCCTCTGTGGGGATACTTGATTCTGATCGGCCAATCGTGGCTTACAGCGGCCAGATATTTCTAAACGATGAAGACGTGTTCCCAGACAATCTCTCTCTCTGCACATAAAAAAACCACCATAAAAGAGCTGATCAATTTGTTTTGCAATTAATGACTGTCAAACTGTTCAAAATGACTACCTAACAATAAAATATAAATACTAACCAATAAATTACTTATTTAGTATTTATTTCTACTTACTTAAGAATATTATTTTACTTACTTATTATTTATATTTGCAGGTCTCATCACATTGGATGAACTTCACCACCGTGTGTTGAAAGGAAGAGGGAAATTTGCACAAGATGTGAGCCAGTGAGTGTCTGATTAATATACTGTTCTCTAGCTATTCTGAACACCTGAATTCTCTTACCATCCATTAATGTCGTCTCTCAGGGATGACTTGGTGCGGGCCATCAAGAAGCTCAAGGCTATGGGAAATGGCTTCGGGATGATTCCCGTTGGAGGCTCTTATCTAGTCCAGTCGGTCCCAGCCGAGCTCAACATGGATCACACGGTTGTCCTTCAGCTAGCAGAGGTAATCAATACCACATTAAGTCTGAGACCTTTACACTTCCATAACGTCAGTCCTGATTACTGGCCATGTTTCATAGAAAAAGGGCTACGTGACAGTGAGCGAGATCAGAGATGGCCTCAAGTGGGAGAGAGAGCGGGCCTGTCATGTCCTTGTAAGTGTGCAGAAAAAACGAAACACCACTGAACGCTTTTTATATGGTGTAGTAATACCTGTTGCGCTGTTTTTCAGGATCACCTGCTGAAAGAAGGCTTAGCATGGCTGGACTCCCAAGCTGAGGGGGAGCCACAGTACTGGCTGCCTGCTCTGTTCTCGGAGCTGTTATCACGAGACATTACGCCTGAGGAGGCCAACCAAATGACACCTTGAGAATAAGACTTTATTTTGGAAATACATTGTCATGGTGAAACGGATAGAGGGGCGAAGGTCAAAGAATGTCACAATGTTGTGAGTCAAGTTTGTTTGAGAGGAAAACAGTGTAAATGGAGAATAAAAGCATCTACGTAGTCACATTTCTCACAATATGTTTATTATTTCAATACCTGATTAACCACTTGAAAAAGGTTTGGGTAAATAAGACAATGCCAATAGTTGTTATTGTGAAAGTGTAATTTATCCTTCATATGTATTATATCTACAATTAATGAATGTATTTTTTTATTATTTAATTGGATATTTTGCTCCAGTTTCTTCAGTGATATTACTATCATTACATAATAAAAAAAGCAATTTTATTTCAGATAGATAACAGCTAATAATGAAAGAGAACTGATGTATATCTCGAAAATCCTACTTTAAAAAGCGCCACCATACTTTATAGCATATCAGATATAGAAAACCGAATTGACTAATCCTCATGAGCATAGACGTGATCTTCAAACTCCTGCTGTTCCATATCATCACAGATCAGAGTGCAGAGTGGACACACTTTGTGAGACTGCTCGTGTTCTGCCAGTTCATCCTCGCTGATGGCAGGAAAGCCCTCCCAACAGTGCTGGCACACCTTAATTTACACACAAGGAAATGTATACAATTTTAATCATTTTGACCTCTGAAAAACTCATTCTTTCAAATATTGTATTCATTACCTGTATCTCTGTTCCTGCAGGATTTGCTATAATGTAGAAATGAAATACGTTTTCAAGACGATTTAGAGAAATACTTGCATTTTTGTCATTTAAGTAAATGTTAGTTTCCTTTTTCGATCACTGTTATTGTACCGACCTGTCAAGTTATCAATGCTCTCATAGAAATGAGAGTCAGGTGAGTATGTTTGCTCCAGGGAGGCCGGTGGGTTTTGAGGGTTGGATAGTTGATCAGACATTGCGGCAACAGATGCAACCTGGTAGTCGAACACTGTCCTACGAAGCTTATTTACTTCTGCCTTCAGTTCCTGAAGATAAAAAGAAAAAACCTACATGAAATAATAATAGTATAATAATTATTAAATAATAATTGATTGGCCCTGAATTCCACAACATTTTTGGTATTCATTTTCTAAAACACCCCTGTTCAAACGTTTGGTGTCAGGTTTTTTTTTGTCCTCTCTCTCTCAACATTGATTATAATAAGGTTTCTTGAGCACCACATCAGCATATTAGAATGATTTCTGAAGGATCATATGACACTGAAGACTGGAGTAATGACTGCTGAAGATTCAGCATTTCCATCACATGAATAAATTACATTAAAAATATATTCAAATAGAAAACATTTTAAATGATAACAATATTTACACTATTGATTTATCTGTATTTTTGATCAAATAAATGCAGCCTTGATGAGCATAAGATACTTCTTTCAAAAACATCTTACCAACCCCAAACTTTTGAACGGTAGTGTAGCTAACAGTTATGTTTAATGTGTCATATCCAAACAGATCACCTCATTCTTTTCCACAAGCTTCTCTCTGTCTAATCTTGATGTCTCTGCCATTTCATAAATTTTGTCTTGTGCCTGCTGAAGTTGTGCCTGTAATGACAAAATTGTGTGGAATCAGGATCTAAATATTGTTTATTATTCCTAAACGTACTTGCAAAATCAGACTAAAGTTAAAAATAGAATGTAAAATTGAAAATGGAAAAATACCTGGATTTGATTGGTTTTCTTGTCCTCTGCCTGTTTCGAGGTCATCTCCTCCAGCTTCTTGTTCACTTCCTTCAATTCCTGCTCAGCTGTTTCTGCACGTTTGCAGGCTTCTCTGCAATTCTGCACCTCACAGCGAAGCAGCCCTCTGGCCTCTGTCAGCTGAGTGAGCAGGGAATGAATCTGTACCTGAGTCACAAAGAGATTACCTCATGACAATACAGTTATTATTGATTGATGATTTGAAGCCATAATGCTTCAATCATCCAAATAGATAAGCCTCACTGACAAGCCTCACTTTGCTGTTTTCTTCTTTCAGTTGGGCTTCTTGCTCTGAAAAGGATGTTTGTAATGCTTTGTTTTCAGCCCTCCGGTCCTCCAGATCGTTTTTCATCCTGAGCTCCTGGGTTTCAGTGTACAGTTTCTCATAGTCTTTCCTGCTGCTTTGCACATCCACCTAAAACAGAATAAACGAGAAGCTCCCAGACCAGCTCAGAAATGTTTACTTACTCCGCCACAACTTATTTTCAGCTAGTGTTACAAGCTGATTCTGCATAGATAAGATCCCTGAAGTTGCAAAGACTAAAGTCTCAAAACCAAAGAGATATTCTTTATCAAAGTTAAGACTCTGCCACACCCCCCCTAAAACGGCTCGCTCTAACACGCCCCCACATATCTACCTCACTATGTGGAAATATTAGCATAATGCCGCCCAAATGTGCACGCAAAGAAAGAAGGCGTGGTTTCAGTAACCGCAGTTAGTGTTGAAGCAGCATGTCAGGGAGACGCTGTGTGTTTCAAGGCGAAAGCAAAAGCACTTTATTTGGCCTTCCGAAAGTAGATGCATTTAGGAATCTTTAAGATCACTTACAACAGAACAGCAATGCATTTTATGGACGACTGTAATTCTGACTTTCCTATGACAATCTGGCGCTTCTGAATCAGCTACTGTTGTGTACTGCAAACACATACCAGCTTCATCACTGTGTCTGTCACGCGACTCTGTTCCCCTTTCGGGCTTGAACTGATGGTAAAACTAATGACAGTATTTACTGTCTTTACATGTATTTTGAAAGATTAAGCTCACGATTATGGTAAGGGACGTTACATTTCCGACCAGTGCTTGCGGTGTTCGGCCAATCACAATGCACTGGGTCAGCTGGCCAATCAGAGCAGACTGCGCTTGTCGGAAGGAGGGACTTGTAGAAAACGAAGCGTTTGAGAGAGGCGTGGCATAGAGGACCTACAATAATGTACAGTATTTGAAAAATAATGTGTTTTTTGAACATTAAAGCATGTCAACATATTCTGTTACACCAAATACACAAAATAATGATCTTTAAAAAAGCATCATATGACCCCTTTAAATTCTCACTCTATTTTTGAGTCTTGGTATTTGTATCGCCAAGTATTATGAAGCGTCTTTGTTTATAGGCACTATAAAAATTTATATATTTTTCTTAATTAACAGTAAGAACACATTTGCAAACCTGGAGCAATTTGACCTGGTCCTGTACTTTGCTGTTATTTTGCTCTGCTTCTTTCAGCATGGTATGTAGCCTGGAGAAAAATAGATGAAAATTTCCATAAACTTTTTGCACATAAAACATACTGTATGTTGACACAGAGATTTGCATAATGAGGACACTCACCCAAGGAATTCTTGATCCTTGAGATCAAGCTGTTTCTGTAACTCTGCCCTTTCTCTCTTAAGCAAGCGGATCTTTTGAACAGCTCTCTCGTACTTTTCATGCAGAAATGTCAGTGACTGTGAATAATTGTTTGATTAAAGCCATACATATATTGTACAATTCTCAGTTATACAGATTACATTATAGACATACTGTAGCTACAATATTTTGATGTGTCAGTGGTTCCACTGGTTGTTTGCAGGAGCATAGCTCTTTCTTTACCTCTTCGGTGGGATTAAAACTTTGTACATCTGGCAGTGCAGATTCTGGTGTATCCTTTGACTTCAAATCATCTATGGAGCTCTGCAGTTTAGTATAAAGGCACATTTACAATCACTTTATTCACCAGTAGTGTTTTGCAATGTTGGTCAGTACAAGAACAATGCATTAAATTACTGTTAATTTAGTCAAACTAAAAATATTAAAATTAGTTTCTGTGATTGAAATTAAGATTAAATAAAGATTAAATATTAAGTAACATAAATATTTAAAATATATATATATTAGATAAACAACTTAAGTGAAAACTAAACATTTTGCCTTTACAAATAACGGAGATTATTAGGTTTAAGTTAAAGTTCTAAAATTACTCAAACCAAAACAGAAATCCAAATAAATTAAAGCTATTGAAATATAGAAATTACAAAAGACAAAGCATAATAAAATTACTAAGACTAAAACTAAAAATATAAATGGAAAAAAAAAAGCTATTTGAAAATCATTATAAATACTATAATAATATTTCTGTCATGACAACTCTTGGAGGGATTGGCATAGTAATGTACATGACAATGTTAATGTATTTGGTCTTGGCGGAATAGATCTGCTACGCTGCTGCTGCTGCTGCTGCTGCTGCGGCAGAGCAAGTACCGAGACTTGCTACTGCCAATACATCCACAACATGCTGCTGTGAGCATGTAAGAAATATTGCTGCTGCAAATATAACATACATGAAATAACCCCCATATAGCATACATGAATCACCTCGTAGCAGATCTATACAGGTGGAGCTGGGGAAGGTGGAGGGTTTCTGAAGCAAGCTGCAACTGCTACGGCAAGCACTAGTCATATATTTGAATGTTGAGCAGCGAGCTCATTGGCTACCGATACAGGACAGCCGTGCCATGTGATAATGATGTCATTAGGTCAGATTGAGTTAGACCTATCGGACTGTGCCATCTAGAGTTTCATTCCAGAACTCTGTATATAAATAAAACTAAAAATAAGACTAAGTAGAACAAGTATTACAATATTCCCACTACATAATGGGTACAGCGCACAAAGACAGGCCTCTAAAATAACAGATCTGACAGTCAGTTGACCTTCATGACAAAAATCACAAATACTACCGTAAATATTGTAAATAATAAGTGCATACATTTTACATATGTGTGTTATAAAAGAAAAGGAGTCGAACGAACCCTGAGATGACAGATCTCATGCAGTCTTTCATCCAACTCAGTTTTCAGGATCGTATTTGTTTCTTTTAAAGACTTGATCTCTTTTGCAAAGTCTTCTTTCTCCTTCTCCATCTTTTCTGCCTGCTCCTACTCACAAAGGACATGCAATAAATTATTTTTTGGCCAGTTAGTACTAATATTATACTTTTAGTGGCTAGCAGAAAGTAAAAAAATACTACAAACTTTAACTTGCAATGGAGATGTACCTGTGTTGTTATGACTAACAGGTCCTTCTCCAAGCTGCAGCCAAGGCTTGTTTCTGCTGGGTTTTGAAAGCAGAATGGGGTGCTGGCTCCTTTGACATGACCAAAGCTGTCCACATAGCAGAACTGGTAAAAATCCCCATCATCCTTTGGCAGGTAGCTCTCTGAAGAGTTTCAAAATCGTTAGAATTTAGTAAAGGGCAGTGGTTCTCGGCACAATATTTGAAGGCCCCCTATATAATAAAATATTAACAGAAACTGGGAGTGTTGACCACAACACATTTTGATTGTTTCAAGAACTATATGTTCTTCTATAAAAACAACAGATGCTTTATTTTTAAGCATTTTAATTAAGTTAATCATTATAATAATATTATAGGCCCCCTGCACCATATTGGTTATCATGCAATATTTGAGTTTTTTTGTTTTTATCTGTATTGATTGATATTAGATATTTTATTGTTAAAAACACTAAGAATTAAATGTTCTTTAGCAAATCTCAAAATGAATATCCTTTTTTCATAGTAATTTTACTTTTGTGATGCCACTTGTATAGCATTTAAAATGACTTTATACTCAAAAAATATTTAGGCCTAAATTTAAGATTTATGTATTTGAATTGCATATAAAATTACACAGTTTTAACATAAACTAATAAACTTTATGTGATGCATATTTGTCAGTCATAGTTGAAATGTGTAAGAAAAAAAACAGGAGATTTTTGTAGGCTACTCAAAAGATCATATGAACATGGTTCAAATATGGCTAGCTGTGGAACAAGCGATATTCAATCTGTTAAAATATAGGAGAAAGATTTCTTGGTGATAAATGTATAAACCTACTGAGTGTGTATTTAATACACATTCAGTTTTTGGTACTATTACAGAAATGTATTAGTTTGTGCTTTGTATATTTTGAGTGTAATTTTAGTGTAGTTTAATTTTTTATTTATTTAGATGAAATAGTACAGAATTTGTATATTGTTTAATGTTTATCTGGTTTAGTATGGGCCAAAGTTTAAAGTCTGCTCTCACTCAAGACCAAGAGAAATATTTAAATGTTTTGATATGAAAAATATACCCTGCCATTTTCAAGTAATCCTCACACTGTGGCTTCCACACATAATTAACTGCCATGAAATGGTACAGGGAAGCGAACCAAATTCTTCAGACACTTGACACATCACAAGGTCTCTTGATTTAGGACCCCTGAGTAACGTGATGAGAAGATGTGGACCACTCAAGTTAGTGATTCAGCCTTTCTTAAAATAGCACCACGTCACATCCACGGCACTGGTGCACCAGGGTCACAACTACCACAGATATGATACCGAGGGGGACACATCAAGTCCCCTTTTTTACCTTTAGTCTCCTCCAGTATCGAATATTTGTTTACTTAGTTGCATGTCACAATGACAGTGTTTTCTCTTCAGGTTCCTCTGGCACAATACCGCAGCTCAGGTTATGGAGCAAAATTCTGGAAAGATGTGAGAGATACAGGAGAAATCTACAATGTGCAATGATAGGGAAACAAGGCGAATTCTACCTTTGAAAAGCACTTGTTGCACTAATGGTTCAGGTCCGACATGGTCCAGGCAAGGTTCCACCCATAAGTAGGTATAATACTTCTGTGTTGAACTCCAACCAACCTGAGCCATTTCACAGATTGAATTTAACTTCTTTGAAAGCAACCCAATACAGTAAATACAGTGTATAAGTTGCTATTATTTCTTACACACCTTATAGATACCGATCCAGTCCCTCGGGCTGGGCTCCAGAGCACCGGTGAGAGTGTACCGGCACATAACTGCGATGTTGGGCGGATATGATGGAGGAACCTCGTTGAAAACTACCTGCGAGTACGATGAGGTCTCCATCACAACGGGGACCGTCTCTTCCTCCATTCCGTCATTCATCCCGGGGTTTACGGGGGACACAGTCACCTTTCAATGCCCCGAAAGATTATTTTAGTCAAAAGCTGGTGTATATTTAGTTTTTCCTTGGCTGAGTTGTTCTTTCACTTTCATTTATGTGAGGGCGTAACTACGACGAACAAAAGTGATTTAATGCCAGCTGACAACGCACTAGTTTTGTTTGATTTTGTTATCTGGTTAATTAAAAAGAATCAAAATATATTTTAAAGACAAGAGGTGTTTAAGTAAACACGATTCGGCTTGTAATCTTAAAATAACAACTTTTAAAATCTATTTTAAAATCAATATAAAGCAAACTCACGCCTTGACCGTAATTTGGTGGTATTTTCACAATAAACAACTTCCGTACATAAAATGTTACCTGAAGCCCCTTCTGTCGCAGTCCAGACCGTGTTGAACAGGGGGTGCGATACACGGCAGTTGCTATAAATGGGAGCAAACTAATAAACACAATCTGGGAGATGTAGTTCTAAGCGCGGGTCGGGCACTGCTGGGGATTCCCGTGTGTTATGTCATCCAGGGTCAGGTAGGGACGGGGAGTTAATAAATCACTTTTCTTTGACAACTGGTTCGAAAACAATCTTCTTTTAGTTGGACAGCTTTTGAAGTCACAAGACAGACTCTACAACTACTCTGATTTCTTACAGAAATATAATATTCCTGTATCTGCTGATGAATATGCTGTTGTTTTCAATGCCATCCCCTCTGTTGTGTCTTTTCTGTTGCAAGGTAGGCCTACTACACTTCCATGGCCATGTACTTACACTCTGAATTTAACTGACACAATGATCGGAAGTGTTTGCTTTTCTACAGATCAACAAAAAAATAACTATAAAATTAGAGCTCTTTTTCAGAGAGAGATAACAACTATTCCTTACATAATACCTTATTGTAATAGCATTGTGGAAAATATACCTAGGGAGAAAGTATGGACCTTTCCTCATAGATAGCCTATCTGCTTACCAATAAAGTAAAAGAAATAACATTTAAGTTGATTCCCAAATGTTACCCAACTAAAGTATTTCTTAGGATATATAAGTCAGACATTGAAGTGAGTTGCTGTTTTTGTCATTCTTCTGAAGAAGACTTCATTCATTTGTTTTGGTCAGACTTTTTAGTGTTTATTCAATCTTTTGTAAGTGACTTTTCTTTTTGTTTTAATGATGCTTTCTTTGGATTGTTTGACGATTCAAAAGAGAACACTGGAAAAGATTACATAATTAATTTATGTTTCCTGTTAGCTAAATTTCACATACATAAAAGTTTACTGGCTCTAAACCTCTCTTCTCCTTATTTAAAGTGGACTTGGCTAAGTATGTGGAAACTATCCAAAAGTTCTGTTAATTTGAAAGCTATGAAAACAGTATCTTTATATTCGTCCTTTTTGTCTTCTTAAGATGTCATTTTATTACCTTGTTTTTTTGTGGTTGCTGTGTGTATATTCTGTTGTTTTTCTGTTTTTGTTTTTATCTTGTCTTTATTTATGATTTTGATAATTGTACTGCCTTAATGTTTTAATGTTTGTATTGTTTAATAAAAAAAATAAAAAATAAAAAAGGGATGGGGAGTTGATTCCAAGAGAGTCGATTCCTCGATAATAGCTCTAGAGTCGGAGTCGACTCCGAGCTCGCGGAGGTCTTCACTGATTCTCAAATCTCTATATAGTGTCTGGCAATTTAGTGCAGTACATCAGCAAAGAGTGAACGAAATTAAAGTGAAGATGCGTTTGCGGTGCAGTAGCAGCAGCACGGGTATTGTGCTTTCACATAAGACGCGTTTGAGTGCGCTGTGATTAGCGGCTGTTTGAAACGGGCCGTGCACGCGTGCGTCGGATAGCTGGAGTTGTCGCAGAAACGACTTTTCCCCCTTACTTTTATCCTACGTGAAGGTTACTTTAGAAATAAATAACAGTCATAGTAAATTTAGTTTGTAATTATACATGCTTCTGTGGCAGCTTTGTAGTTTAATTGATGCTTTGTTATGCGACGTTATGTTTAATGCAATGCAATTTGGTTTTCCATGGTTAACCTAGGCTATTTGTGTTCAATTATTAACCTTAAATCATTAAAAACTCACATAATAAACAAATCAATAAGTTTACATTCGTATGCATTTACTCATTCACTAACTGCTTGTTTTCTTTAAAAAAAAAACACTAGCTTTTCTAATCTTTTTGTATTCTATTTCTTTTCTTTTTATTTATTATACAATTAACAAAAGCAAAAAAGGCCTCTAACCCTAGCTTGCTCTGTTCTTTTTCTATTCTATCCATTTTATTTTTATTTATTAGCCTATATAATTTAAAAAATGACTAAATGTAAATGTATTTTATTTACCATCCCCTGACCATTATAATGTGACTAATTCATAGCTCAATTAAAGGTAATTTCACCGCTAAATTAGAGTAATTTGGACAGTCATGCTAAAAGGAGTCGAGGAGTCCTATGGTGGGAGTCGGGAGTCGACTCCGAAAAACCTGGAACCTAACACCCCTAGGGTCAGGGGCGTAGCAGCCATTTTAAAAGTGGGGGTGGGAGGTGGGGCGCTGTCAGGTGATGTGACCCTCAACAGCCAAACAAATTATGTACATAATATACAAAGTAAGTACATTCATGTTATAATAAATTCTATAAAGAATTCCAATTGCCCTGTTTTAGAGCACCCTAATGGCAATTTTAGCCTTGATAGCTTACAGGAAGCAAGACAGCTTACAGGGACCTATGAGCAATTCAAACTAACTGGCTGTGAAAATCAGTGGGCGTGGCTCATTATACTACAAGGAAAACGCCTTGTGCTTTTGTGCAATCAGAATGGCGTTTTTTTACGGCATCCTGTGGCAAACCGACCTGCGTTAAAAGCGGCGCTTTTTACAAACACTAAAACGCCATTAAACATGGTGTTTTTTACCGTTTACACACGTTTTTTACAGCGTCTGCTATCAGGTCTGTGTATTTGACGGTGCTACTGCAGATTTAAACGCCATTAAAAAAAAGCCGTTTTGTATGTAAATGCAATTTATCTATAGCGTAATTCTGACTCTTTTGGCTTGCCATACTCTCACCCAGAGGGTGTGCGCGCACTTAAAAACGTGTCCGTTGCTCAAGGTGTGCGCGCTCAAACTGCGTCCTGTGCACTCGCAAATCTCTCCGTGCTCTTATGCTAGAAATTAATTCTTTTCACACCTGGACTAAACGTTATCAAAAGTTATCAACCAATCAGACTTCCACGACTGACCATGACTGGTTGGTCAAACCCATTTATCTAAAAACAACATATTATAGCCTATATGGCTCTTAAGACATTGCATATAAAAGATCAATGTTATGTCATATGTCAGATACCTCAACTTAAAATCAGTGCAATGAATTCTCAATCTGTACAATGATGCCAATAATAGGTAACAATTATAAAGTTTCATATCAAATCAACATCAAAAAAACAACGTACAACACAACGAATGCTGTGATAGAATCGCTGTTTGGACATTTATTGGGAGTTTTTTTTTTCATCCAGTTTGTTTTCCGTTCTGTTTTCATGAAAACCCACTTCATATCAGCTACACATTCAATGGCACTCTCCTCTGTGAAAATACAGTTATATGAGAGTTACAGAGAACTACATTGTCTGCAAATTCATTAAACCCATAGAATATAATGATGTTATGACAAATATGAGAAATTCATTATGGAGGTATCTTTGTTCTCCATATTTTAATTATTTAGGGAATAGTGCATCTGACCCTGATCTAAATAGTTCCGTCTTAAATCAGAATGTTATATTTTGTATTAATTGTTTTAGTGCAAAAGGGATGGCTCTACACACAGTATTATATTCACTAAAGCAGTGCTATTCAATTGGCGGTCCGCGGGCCCAATCCGGCCCGCCAATCATTTCATCTGGTCCGAGGGAAGAGTACCCGCAGGTCGCACATACGCCTTGAATTGTTTTTGCACCAATTAATTTGTTCACAAGGTGGCATCAGTGGCCCAGGCCGTGGTTTCACAGCCAAAAAAAAGAAAAGGAAGAGACGCAACAACAATCTACCGGAGACAGCAACATCAATAGACGGCAGTGTTGACAAGCGCTTGTGTGAGAGGGTTATGAGACATCTAGTTTAAACGAGTTTCAAGACCGTGTTATCGGTCATAACTTCTGGCGAGAAATATCCCCCCACCCGGCCCGACGATCCCAATACAGGCTTCAAAGTAGGTATTTTTTTATTAGAAATACCGATACATATCTACATTAAAAAAAAGGGAATTCAAATATCAGTTATTTAAAAATAATATAAGACGGGAAAAAACACTACAAGGTTGTTAGAAAACACTCTCTGTCTTGAGAATGTTCCAAATATGCCTCACCCCTCACTTCCCTCTCCCTCCTCTATCTGTTCTCTCTCTCTTGTATGGTGTTTTAATGTCTCTTACTCATATGCGAGGTATGCATGCGCAAATGTATACATTAGTTTTCTTGGTTTAAATGCCCCAATAAGGACATGAATGTTAGGACTACAAGGGTAAAGGAGTTCGTGAGGAACCCTGAAGACAGTTCAGCATTCTTCGCCAGGAAGTCTATTCCTAATATGTACATGTTTTTCTGTACATGTGGCCATTTTATACAAAACACATGTTCTTGGCCAAACATCCTAGGTATGTCATCCTATCCTCATTGGTTAAGAGGGTGAAACTCCCCTCGACATATGCCTATATAAGATCTGTTTTTCTATGAATAAATTGAAGTATTGAGAATACATTTGAATGTGTGTTTTCTTACTTCCCGGCCGTCTATCTACACTTTAAGGAACTGAGAATTCTTCAAGGTGGCAAAGAGATATCGAGGGACAAATTGTTATTTATTAACAAAGGTCAAATATATAATGTACTTTATTTAAAAATTACAATTTTACACCAGAATGAAATGTGTGGCAGTACAGGCTGCAAACTGAAACCAGATAAACTGCACTCTTTGTGATCTTGACATTTATAGTGCCACACAGTGGGCAACCAAGTTACTGCTCAAGGCACCACGGTTGAGGGACTAAAAAAGTAACTGTACATAATCATTTCTTAAAAGTGCATGTCTTAACTGGGACAGAGCACAGATGAGTTCAAATATACATAAGTATGCAACATGTCATTGTGAGAACAAGAGAAGTTGTATTTTGAAAGGTAGTTACTATAATGCAAAGCAGAGTACAAAATTAGTTTTTATATATACACAAATGACCTCGAATGCTATTTTAGCAAATTTCAAGTTTGAAATGGCATTACAAAAAGATAAAATCACAACAGATAACACAAAAGACATCTTCTAATCATATTACGGCAAAGACAAACGGCCCATCACTCAAGAGTTCTTGAGCTTGTCTCCAAATGGAAGCATTATATATTAGGAATCGCATTTTTCTTCATCTACCCTATATGACCATGTTTTTGCAAATGAAGTACACCATCTAGAATATACAGTCAAAGTAATCAGTTAATTCAAACCGTTTTTACCATGTAACTTTTTAAAGTGGTGCAGCAGATACATTTTCAGGAAATCTAAATCATGTCCTTTGTAGGACAAAGCAACTAAAACAACAGATTTAAAATGTAAGCACATGTAGCTACCAAAGATGTAGCTTGCCAAAGGGACTTCAGGCAAACAGTTTAAGAAGACAAAACCCAGTGCTTCATGGGCAAAAAAAAAAAAAATCTAATAAAAAGGAAAACTCTGTAAAGAAAAAGGATACCTGATTTAAATATAAAATAATAATAACACATTTGGCAATAAGAGACACTTAAAGGATTAGTTTACTTCCAGAATAAAAATTTCCTGAGAATTTACTCACCCCCATGTCATCCAAGATGTTCATGTCTTTCTTTCTTCAGTCGCAAAGAAATTAAGGTTTTTGAGGAAAACATTCCAGGATTTTTCTCCATATAATGGACTTCAATGAGGACCAACCGACTGAAGGTCCAAATTGCAGTTTCAATGCAGCTTCAAATGGCTCTACACGATCCCAGCCGAGGAATAAGAGTCTTGTCTAGTGAAACGATAATTTTCTTAAAAAAAATAAATAAAATATTTATATACTTTTTAACCAGAAATGCTCGTCTTGCTCCACTTCACGCATTACCGTAGTGACGTAGGTGGAAGTACTGACCCAGTGTTTACAAAGCGAACATGCAAAGAAAGTCAAACGCCCTTTACAAAAAAAGGTAAAACAACGATGTCGGACGATTTTGAAAATGTAGGAGAAAATGGAGTTTTTTGCTTGGATGACATGGGGGTGAGTAAATGATCAGGACATCTTTATACTGGAAGTGAACTAATCCTTTAAAGGGATAGTTCACCCAAAAATTTAAATTTGCTGTTAATTTACTCAGGTGAGTACATTAAAAGCAAATTTTCATTTTTGGGTGAACTATCCCTTTAAATAGCTTGCATACAGTTGGCATTCAAATTCAATATAATTGATGGAACTCACCTCAAATGAAACTGACAGCCACAATAATGGCTATTATTACAAGCAAAATAGCAAGACATAATGCAATCCATAATTTTTTCTGTGAAGAAGAAATGTGATCAGTCGCACTAGTGAATGATATAATGTCATCACATCAATAAATAAATAATCATTAATAAATTTACTCACTTTGCGGACTTTTTTTGAAGTTACTACCGCAGCAGCTGTGTCAGCAACAGCCTTTTCCACATAGTTATGGGAACTCTTAATGTTCCCCTCAATCCTGTCCACCATTTCACCCTGAAAAAAACAAGTTAATTTCACATGAAAAACTGATATAATTAAAATATGGACAAAAATTACATTTATTAAACAACGTTTTTTAAAATGATAGATAGGGTTGGGTATCGAAAACCGGTTCCATTTTAGAACTGGTTCCAAATTTCCAAGAACCGGGTATTCGAGAAGACGCGTGCATTTCGATTCTGCTGAACAATTCCTGCGTTCGCATTTTAATGTGATTAAAAATGGAAACGGAAAGAACTGCACCCTGCAGCGCACACGAAGCGTAAGCGCTAGCACAGAGAACCGAGATCGCGGTACGGGTTCCCGGTTTGTGTCCGTTCTCGAACCGTTCAGTGTATTTCCACTGTAGAAAAGAATGTTCCGGGCCGAAACTGACTTCTTTCATATTTGTCGACCAATAAGCAGAAAACTACATCAGTATATCATCATAAACACAGCCGTTTTTGACTTACATGAACATAAACGGATGAGAAAGAAAACACACATGTACAGTAATTTTAGATATACGTGTGTTCGTTGTTAAAGAGACAGCAGCCTAATAAACGCGCTGGCTGTCATTAATGTTAATCAAAGAACAAAAGAAAATCATACACTGATCTTGACTGAATATATTTAATAACGTTCATTGATTAATCTATATTTTATGAAAAGAAAACAATGCTTTTAATTAGTTTCTGTACCTGAAATGTTGTTCAGTTGTATTTATTTATGATATTGCTCATTGATTTGTTTGTTCCTATCTTACTGACCGTTTACTAGTCTTTAACACTTTAATATTTCAAATTTATATTAATCTAGTTGTTTTTGCTGTGGTATATTTTTTTTTAAAGCATAGGCAAAATTCCTCTTGCAGTGTTCTGTAGGCTGCTGGTTTTTGTTCGTGTTATTCAGCTGCAACAGAACGCTTTGTAAAAAGACAGAATAAATGTTTGACTTAATTTTTTTTTTATATTGGATTTTTTATCTTATTGGAATCGAAACTAGAAATCAATAAGAATCGGAATCGATAAGCAGAATCGGAATCGATAAAATGCAAACGATACCCAACCCTAATGATAGAACATTGTGGTTTTTAATGTCCTAGACATCTGAGGAATGTACTAAATATATCAAGTGTGTTGACCTCACCTGTGCTTCAACCTCCATTGCAAGGTACTGAAACATGTCATGTAGCTCTTTAATGCTTTTCTCTAGCTTGATGATCTCATCATGCCGTGACTCGATCTCGTTCAGAGCCTGTCTGGTAGCTTTAGCATCGTTCAAAATCTGCAAGAACAGTTTGATTTTTACACAGTGGTTCAAGATACTGAACAGGATGTTTCATGTGATCACATCATGTGACAAATAGGACAGCGGTGAAATGCATCATGGTGGTGATGCTGTATTGCAGGCAAAGGGGGTTGGAAGGGTTTTATAAAAAATAAAAAAAAAACTGAATATATATATACAGTGGTGTGAAAAAGGTGTTATATATATATATATATATATATATATATATATATATAAGGCAAAGAGCAAGAATGACAGTAATCAAAACTCTAAAAGGGAAGTGGAAATCTATAAAGGAGGTACTGAAAATATGAGGCATTTGCTTCTAGCATTGCTTTTATATGATGTTGACAACCCAGATTTACTTTATCTGGAATAAAAAAGGCATTAACACTCAAAGATACTTTATGTCCAAAGGTGCCCCCAGCATTCTTAGTTCCAAATGTAGGTCTTACTTTGACTATTATTTGGAGTTTCTACTGCTTCACATGAAACTCAGAAAGTGAAGGACCAGGAAACAGGAAAATGCCCCTATTTATTATAAATGATTATATCACTAAATGCCCGGATAGGTTCATCAACGTCATCAAAAACAAGAAATAACCATTACATTTTAGATGGAACGGTTCCTAAAAGGATCTCACCAAATGAAACGCATCCATTCCAAAGAAAGCAAAAGAGAAGACTTGAAATGTGACATTAAGAAATCAGAAGACTATAATAAACAATATCACTCTGTTGTGGACTGTTTTCTTCAGGTAATTGTAGAAGGAAAAGCAATGAATTAGGCAGAATGCTAGACTTACACTTATGCATTCAAATCAATGCATGCACACTACTCAAAACACCACACTCACATTTTGCGTGAAAACATCTGTCTGTCCACTCTCAAGCATTGATTCCAGCTCCTCATCTGTCACATTGTTACCAGCTGTAAAGGAAACCACATTCACGCTAGTTTTATTTAGTTCTATTCCATTTTATTTTGACTTGTAGGAACAATGCAAGTGATACTGCAGTAGTCTTGGATCATACTAAAGGAAACTCTTAAATGAAGAAAAACATGACTCGTGCACAATTAAAAAGTCTATTGTGAAAGACCTGTATGAGAACCATAGTATTATCAATAGAAAAAACAAGACAGAAAAAGCACATACTGATTTTGAGTTGTCTGTGTATCCTCTCCACATTTCTGTCTCTGTATTGGGCTTGAATTGTATTACAGTGACCCATCACTTCCAGAAATTCACGGGACAAAACACCATGCTTTTAAAGGATATTGAGGAAAAAAGGGAGGAACAGATTATTCTAAGCCAAAACAACACTGTTCATGCATGATATTTACAAAAAATATTTATAATATATGTATTAAAAAGCAACTCACCTGGATTCTCCGCATTCTTACATTTATTGAAATATATTTCTCTTCACCTTCAGCTTTCTTAGGTTCAATGCCTGTGACGTAAACATATCGTTTAATACTACACATCCAGTAGGTCCAGCAGAATAAGTTTGATAACAACCACCTGTTTTTATTTATCAGTCTCACTTTTTAACTTCTTTTGGATCTGGCAGGCCATGACTTTGATGTCTTCTCTGAGGGACTGCAGTTCCTTTTTCATACCTATTGCCAAGGAGACTTTTTTTTTATATTTATTTCTTTAAAACAAATTTGGGATGATAAAACCTAAACTGAACAACAACAAAAATCTCCACAGAGAACCAGGAAAATGTGTTGAAATATAAAAAAAAATACCCAAACCTAAGCTGAGCTACTCACTTTCTTCTGGAAGTGCAACTCCTAACACTGTTTTCTGTTTGTTCTCCAGTTCAGACACCTTCCTTTTAATAGTTTCAAGTCCCTCTTGAATCTCCTGAACCTGCAGAAAAAATAGGGTGTAATTGTGACAATAATAAGTTTGACTCCAGAAACTTTGAAATCCCAAACCATACAGGCAACAATTTAATCAACAAAAACGTAATTCATGGTGAACAGTTGATATTACAAGGTCAAAAGTATCTATTAAACATGGAGTTTGGAGGTAGTGGCTTGGCAGTGTGTAGTTACACAACAACTCCACAGTTCCCTAATAATTTATGTGCATATTACCATTGAAAGCTGCAGTAATGCTTTCGAATAGTTCAAATGTGTTACGATGGCTTAAAATGAACCTTTTTAAAGACAGCTTCATTTTCTTTCTCTTCATTTGCTGAGCTCCCAGATCCAGGCTTTATCATGAGAGCTCTGTTTTCTTCATCTTCATCTGACGCATCAGCAACCTATTTAAAAGAGAAACGTATAGGGGGTTGTGCTAAATATATTTGGGGGGGTTGGCTGCTAGTTTGCATGCAGGCTAAATAAAGTTCCACCCCACCTAAATTACACTGCAATACTAGAGGGTTGGTAGTGCAGAGGGGTGTTAGCTTCCAGTTTGTGGTATTTGACTTTATTTTTTTTCTCAACAATCTGCATAAAGACACATAAATAGTCAGTCACAGTGACCCGTGAGAATATGTGAGTGTTCATAAATCGCAGTTGCAGCAGTGGGCAGTTTCCGTGGGTTAGCCCGTTAGCACGTTAGCCGGTTTCCTGAGTGCACTGCCCTAAGTTACTTTGTACTCACATTGCCCAGCTCTTTGGTCCGGTCCCGCATTCTCGATGTATCTTATATCCAACTCGGATGAAACGTTACTGTCTTACGAGACGTAGCACATCTGTCTGCAAACTCAAATCCTAAAAGAGGGAGTTTCCATTCTAAGACACATTTCACGCCAGCCAGCTTCCACAAATAACTTTCAGAGGAGATTGTTGATGGGCGCTGTGAGGTGCCTGAATGATAATATATAAATACTACGGATCAACTTCAGTTATGCTGAGAGATCAAAATGGGGCGATGTAGTTATTTACGAATTTGTCCCTTTCTTCTTCTGTTTTAGTTTGCGGAAGTATGAAAAACGACCAAGGCTTTTACTGCCCCCCGCTGGAAAGATATACATGTTTACATTAATTCACTATGGCGAAATATAGTATTCCACACGGATCTCAAATGCAAAGAATAATGAAGGTCTGTAAGTTGGTGAATGTAACTTTATGAAGAGTGACTGTATAATATAAACGTATATAAGACCAATAGCTTTTTTCATGTAAACAAAGGAAATGAAAAGAAAATATCTAACAAAATGATTTGCTTAAACAGCCTTGGAAAACAGACAATTATATTTAGCAATTAAAAAGAGAAAAAAATATGTAAGAAATTCATACATTGTATTCATAATTAGTCAAACAGATCAATTATCCATTTGTGGATAACAGCTCAAATCTAAAGTTCATTCATTTATGACTGCAAGAACATTTCAAATCTTAAATGAATGCAAAGTTTCCCTTTTTCAAAAAACAGAAAATACAGATGAATGAAGCTCATTCACAGGCCAGTTTGCCGTCAAAGGAAGACAGTGTGATGGCAAATGCCTGGAGAGCACACATGGGAAAGCTGTAGTCCATGGAAAACACATCTTCTGCTACCCGCCCAAACTGCATCACAATGTAGTCCACTGGAGAGAGATATTCATTGACATTAGAATTAGGAATTGTAATATTTCTCATATATTATATGATATTGCTTCTACAAACACAAAGACAGAGATACAAAATGAGAAAAAGAAGGATAACCTCATTCACCATTATCTGGATGGACAATCTGAAAGTTTTTCACAGATGCCTGAGTAACTCGGCCATGGAAATTGAGCACATACGACTGCGTTTGCTCATTCCAGCTGGGTGATTTATTTACAAGGGTGACAAGATTCTCTTTGTTACCATTCTCATATTGGGTGAGCAGAGACTCTAGCTCCTGGGACATGCAAAAAAAAAATACTTTTCATTATATATATATATAAAACAGCTGATTTAATCACTGAACCAAACACATAATTAGATAGAAACAGAAATAATGTATTTTACATTCTTTATCTGAGTGAAGTGTGACAAATATTTCCAAGACATAAATTACTATACAACAAACAAACAAAAATACAGTTATTTAAGATTGTAATAAAATTTCACAATATTACCATTTTCACTGTATTTTTTGATCAAATAAATGCAGCCTTGGTGAGCATAAGAGTCTTCTTTCAAAAACATAAAAAATCTTTCAGACCCCAAACTTTTGAATGGTAGTGTATTTCCAAAAGAAGAAACGTAATATTGCAATTGATGAAAAAAAAGTGATTAACAAGAATCCACAACATAATACTCACACTTTTTGGCCGAATAACAACTCTCTCATCATTCTCATGCATACCAGGAATAATTACTGTCATTTTTCTAGGTCCTTTGAAACCCAAAACATTTTTCTCCTGTGTGACAGTAAAGAAAAGAGTAAGTTTTCTTCTTTTTTCCCCCAATCAGAACAGAATAAATGTAAAAAACATATACTATCTAAAGAAAAATAAGCACACAGTTAGCATCCTACATAACATATTGCTGCTAGCTCTTTTCGCAGTGTATCCGTTTCTTTAATGAATGGATTCCTTTCTGGATTCTCGCCATTATCATACACAGTGAATTTAGTCCCCAAGACATTTGATCTGAGGAGACAAATTCTATATTTTAGCACGGGCAGAATTACAAACAATATCTGTGATACACACTTTAATGGTACTGACCTTAGTTTGCATATGTAGCTGTCAGTATCTCTGGATAAATCGGTAGGATCGATTGATATCAAATAATTCGAAGTTTTGCACTTCTTTCTTTTTCTTCCAGCCATCAGAAAGACCTGCCCATCCGAAACATTGGAGAAGAGAACAATGATATGTTAAGCAATGAAAAAAGACATTATTTCTCATATTTTACTTTATTCACACTTCGGCTAACCCTTTTCCCATCCTCCTTTTCCATGTGGAGGTAATATGTGGGAAAGATGCCTTTCTCCACTCCCCTCCTGTCTCTGGTGATCCTGCACTGAATAGTCACATCTCTTGGAGCAGGATGCATGGCAAACTGTTCCAGATCCTCCAAAGACATCGGAGAGGACTGCACGAGAAAGATAAAACACAGGGTTATTGTATTAATTAAACCAAAAACCATTAAAAGTGTCATTTTCATTACTTGAAATAAAATAAATATCAACTTAAAATAAAATAAAATAATAAAATAAAATCCGAAAAAGCTAAGATTTTAGTTTAAGTACTAAAATAACTAAATCTAAATAAACTAAGAATAAAAAAAGCTGTATGGACATGGTGAGCAAAAACCTAAGCTTTCTAAAGGCCCGTTCACACCAATCACGATAACTATAAAGATAACGATAAAGATATAGTTCTAAAAATCGTTCTCAATATTAAAGAATAGCACATAGTCCACACCACAGCTATAATGATAAAGGCACAAAGAAACGATATCTTTGGAATCATTTTTGGAACGATTTTTTCTGGTTGATGAAAGATACAAACATTGACAGCCAATCAGAATCCATCCTGCTATTAGGAGCTCGAGAATTTAAAGCGGCAGACGAGCGTGCACGAAGAATAAACAGACGATATCGTTCGCTGGTGTGGACGCAAATATCGTTATCGTTATAGTTATCATTCTTGGTGTGAACGGGGCTTAAAGCTTTCAAATTAAAATGGAAAGGTAAAACATAAAATCTATTTAAAAATATTAACAAAAAGTATAATAGTATATCAATGATACTAAAATGATATACACAAAATTACACACACACACACACACACACACACACACACACGTACAACACTAAATGAATGAATTTAGACTATGCCTTACTTTTCCCATGTCCAAAGAATCACTGTCGGAGGAAGGCTCTTTACAGTTGGAGTTTAAAGAAGCAATATTGTCATTATTTTTTGTTCCTTTTTTAGACTTCTTTGGTGTTTTTTTAGCTTCCCTCTTCTTGTCCGCCTCCTCTTCGTCCTCTTTTTCTTCCTCACTGTCACTGAGATGACATCTCACTACAAAGACAGAAAACTAATAATAACAATCAGGCCACATCAAACAAAACCATCATTAAACAAAAAAGGTTCATATGGAGACATATATCATTTTTATATCAGGAGATTTGTATACTTTGTTTTAGTTGTTGTTTTTTCTTCGGTGTTGGAGGGATGGGGCTCTTTGTCCAGTCTTTTCTTTCATCCTCACTCTCTGATTCAGGTTTTTTCTCTTCATTAATGTTGATTTCCACAACTGAATCAGTCTGAATTGCTGGAAAATACCACGAGTTGGAATGTTAACAATGCCAATGTCAGGTTATTTCCTATTTATGGATGAGGCACTGGGCTGTGCTACAGGAAACGGCCTTTAACTTGTATCATGTTTAACAATGGAGACACATCTCCGGTGCACTTACAAGACTGTTCTTCTGTCCTCACTTTCTCCTTAGATTCCTTTGTCTTATCCTTCTTCTTCACTGGTTTTTGCTCTTTCCCTTCATTTTCCTCCCCTTCTAATGCAGGTTTGGCCTCAAGTACTAGAATGTGTTCAGTTCAACAAAATGTAAAGGCACATCACACTAAGGCAGATACAAAAGTTACAACTGAAAATGGAAAAAACACTTACATTTTGTTTGCCCCTTTTTCACACCTTTCTTCTTAGTTTTTTTTCCATCTGCTTGGCTTTCTGTGTCTAAAGTGCATTTAGCGCTGTGCTGCGGGCTGATCTCTAGATTGATTTTCTTAGTGAGGACCGGAACAGAATCAGCTACCTCTTGCGAAGCCTCTTCTGTCCTGGACGAAATGGTCAGTTCTCCTAAACAAATCTCTTCCACCGTGTTTTCATAAATCTGCTCAGGTTGCATGTCTGATAATAAACAGGTAGGTTGTTATTTTCTGTAAAACTAAAAAAAAAATAAGACAACAAAACATGACATAAGACAAATAAGACAATAAACAACAATTACATGTTAACATTGAGGCTCTGGTTTCTATAGAGTAAGTGTTTACGAACCACTGAGGGCAATGTTGCTCTGACATTGGCTTATCAATAAAGCTGTATCGTCAGACTCAGCTTTCTGTTTGCGTGTCTTGGGACGGATGTCATGATTAGCTGTGATCATCTGGGCATCTGCCCTTCTTCTTTGTTGTTTCTTGATTAAAAGCGAACGCTATGAGAGTTGACATTATAAAGTGATGTTAAACATCAGATATATATATATATATATATGTATGTATAGATGATGCTTTTAAGCATGACAATAATGACAAAGGTTAAATAATATATTTTTTTAAAAACTACATATTATTGATAAAATATGTAACACAAAAGTATACGTAAATGACTAATCAAAAGACACTAATTTCCTAACCTGATTGTCCAGCTTCTGTTGTCGGACCTCTGCGTCCTCCATTTCTTTTGTTGGGAAAGAACAATATCACAATTTTGATAGTATTCAAATAATCCACTATGTTATTATTGTCATAAACTCACCAGCCAGAATTACACGCTCAAATGAAGCCGAAGACTCATTGTCCCTGTCTGTTTCTGCAGCTCCATATGACATCCCCACCTGCACGCAACCGAAGCTTAAGAAGATTACAGAGGATAAAGTTCTTACACTCAACACTCCACTGAGACACCACGTAGTATAGATCCTTCATCATTACTGACATCAGACACTATATTTCACAACTGAAAACAGCACCAGTGTCACAATATTAAGATATTGGTAGTATAATACCAGAACTATTATACATTTCTGAACCTTGCAGTCAAAATAAGCATTTTATGCAAGTCTTTTATCGAAGACTAAACATTGTTTATACAGGCACTGGTCGATTTTGCGATTTTGCTTCCTTAACTTGTCTTCTTCTCAGACTTCGGAAAGAAAACATCCTAAATACACAGTTAATTAACATTTTATTACACTTTATCTATTTGTGTCTGTAGATTTCAATTACAATACATATCTTTAAAAGCTGTTTTTAATTAGTTTTTTCTCATGCACTGAGCCAGAAATCTCCACGTAACTAGCAGTTTTGCCAAACTTTCCAGTTTTATTCTTTATCTATATTCTCAAGGTTTTATATACTGTGGGTGTTTGTTAGGCTACTGTATCATTTGCCAGATTTACAAAACATTTTGCATGGTAAACATGGTCATTTGTTTCGGGCTATTGACAGTCTTTTCTGATCTATGGAGTAATAAAAAGAGATATCCAAAATTCCCTCTGTAAAACTCTAATATGGCAATTAAATGAAACAAGGATTTTGAACCTTTATTCAGTGTTCAGACGGCCAGTTGCAAAATACTTAAAGGGGTCATATGATGCGATTTGGAGTATTACAAGCTCTTGGTGCATAAAGAAGATCTGTAAAGTTGCAAAGACTAAAGTTTCAAATCCAAAGAGATATTCTTTATAAAAGTTAAGAGTCAGCCACGCCTACCTAAAACGGCTCGTTCTAACACGCCCCCACATGTCTACGTCAATATGTGAAAATATTAGCATAATGCCACCCAAATGTGCACGCAAAGAAAGAAGGCGTGGTTTCAGGAACAGCAGTAGTGTTGATGCAGCATGTCAGGGAGATGCTGTGTGATTCAGTGCGAAAGCAAAAGCACTTTATTTGGCCTTCCGGAAGTAGATGCAATTAGGAATGATTGGTTAAGATTTATTTACAACAGAACAGCACAACCCAGATGTTCGAATTTGTGCAACGCATTTTATGCACAACAGTTTTTTGAACCTAGAAGAATACAAGGCTGGCTGTGCACAAAGGCTATTTCTAAAAACAAAAAAAGGGTCAATTCCGACTTTCCTATGACAATCTGGCGCTTCTGAATCAGCGACTATACGTATGTTTTATTACTAGTTTAAGTATTTGCTATTGACTGTTCAAATGCGGAGTTTTGCGCAGCGCAGAGTAATGCGTCGTGTGTGTGTGTGTGTGTGTGTGTGTGAGAGGGTGTGAGGGGAACAGGGTCACATCACAGGAGAGTGAACTGTCTGTCAGAAATCATAGCACGTCAGCTGTCTTAACCGCGGCTTGTGTACTGCATCATCACTGTGTCTGTCACGCGACTCTGTTGCCCTTTCGGGCTTGAACTGATGGTAAAACTAACGACATTATTAACTGTCTTGATATTTACTTTGAAAGCTTGAAGCTCGCGATTATGGTAAGGGGCGTTACATTTCCGACGCGTGCTTGTGGTGTTCGGCCAATCACAATGCACTGGGTCAGCTGGCCAATCAGAGCAGACTGCGCTTGTCTTTTTTTTTATTAATCCTTTATTAGGATTAGCAACAAGTATACAAACATATACAAAATCACACACAAAAAAAAAACTTACGGGGCCAGGGGTAATATAAATTACATTATATAAAGTAAAGGTGCCTCAAAAGGCACTTTTTAACAACCAGGCAAAAGGTCACAGAGCATTCAGTCAACTGTACATTATAGGAAAGAACCAATATTATAAGATGCACACAATGTTATCGATTTTAAGGCTTTAACATTGCTGGAGGTAGATATTGTTTCCAAGTAATACTTCAGATCTTTACAAAATATAAGAAATAGGGGCTTTACAGACAAAAATGTGCACTTATGTATAAAAAATGTTTAGATTCTTATCAACATGATAAAAACCAAATAAAACATCCTTGAACAACAAAGAAAAATTGTCTAACTTACGGGGCCAGGGGTAATATAAATTACATTATATAAAGTAAAGGTGCCTCAAAAGGCACTTTTTAACAACCAGGCAAAAGGTCACAGAGCATTCAGTCAACTGTACATTATAGGCAAGAACCAATATTATAAGATGCACACAATGTTATCGATTTTAAGGCTTTAACATTGCTGGAGGTAGATATTGTTTCCAAGTAATACTTCAGATCTTTACAAAATATAAGAAATAGGGGCTTTACAGACAAAAATGTGCACTTATGTATAAAAAATGTTTAGATTCTTATCAACATGATAAAAACCAAATAAAACATCCTTGAACAACAAAGAAAAATTGTCTAAGAGAGAAGAACGTATAAATAAACAGAATTTTTTCCAAAAAATGGTGGTACATTCCCAAAAGAGATGAGGCAGACTGCGCTTGTCAAAAGAGGGGGCTTTGTTGAAAACGAAGCGTTTGTGAGAGGCAGGGCATAGAGGACCTACAATAATGTACAGTATTTGAAAAATAATGTGTTTTTTGAACATTAAAGCATGTCAACATATTCTGTTACACCAAATAATGATCTTTAAAATAGCATCATATGACCCCTTTAAACTAGTCTTACAAGTATTCTCATTTTTTTTCTTCTTCTTTAAGACAGGTTATAACCTTGTTGGTTACACTTTACTTGAAGGGGTGTGCATAAGACTGACATGACACCTTCATAATCATGACATGACACCTACATAATCATGGCATGACACATGTCATGAATATAAAGGGTTTTTATGCATGTTTATGACAACTGTCATTAAGTGTAATTCGCTCAGTTATGTAATTTTTTATGCAAAGATTACATCGTTTGAGATGTCTTTGTTATGGGCTATGGTTAGGGGTAAGGGTAGGGGTAGGGGTAGGTCAAATAATGTCATATTTGCATTAAAAATGACATAACTGAGCGAATGACACTTAATGACAGTTGTCATAAACATGCATACAACCTCCTTCATATTCATGACATGTGTCATGTCATGATTATGAAGGTGTCATGTCAGTCTTATGCACACCCCTTCAAGTAAAGTGTTACCACTTTGTTTAAGTTGGTTACATAGACAGTCGAATCCAACGAATATGACTGATTACTCCCTTGGCTAACTGCTAGTTGGGCAGACTAGTTCTTAACAGAGGATAATTTATGCAGCTGGCCCCAGATTTCAGGAAAGAATTGCAAAATAGTGCATATTTAATTACTGCAGCTAATGTCTCATTTGCATGTTTAAACATAACATTTCAGAAAAATTGTAGTACAAAACAACTGCCTTAATATCCTTTGATTAACATGGGAAAGGATATATATTAGTTCAAATGTTTACCATTCACCTGTAGTATCTTGTTTTAATTGTAGGCTACTCTACAGAGAATACATTTCGTTACCGGAAAAAGACAAGCCGTAGCCTACATACTCAAGTGTCTCAAAGTGACCCTTTTCTTGCTCGGTTTAGCATCATAAGCATAACTCATAAGCAGACTACCTACCCGTACCCTAGATGGCAGTATCTCACCTCAGCTAGTTTATATATTCACAGCTGAAGAAAAACGAAACTGACCACGTTACTCGCTCATAATGTTTTGACGTGTTTTTACTCGTTCTAATCTGTTTTATCTGTATGTGTAATACAAGCTAAGTGACATTTAAGAAAAATCACAATTTATTACGGACGGATGGGATGAAGGTACGAATTTTACTATATATTTTGACGTTCGTGTGAGCTCATTAACTTGCGCACCTGAAATACAACCTGGAAATAGAGCACTATTACAGTAAGTATCATACCAATAAACCGATCTTCTAGCTATTTTCTTTTGAGTAAGTGCTGTGACCGATAACAGACAAGTTATCGAATTAAAACGCTCTACACGATGCCAAAGTATCCCTCTACACAGGTTTGCTATAAGTAACTTGTTCAGCTTCAATGTATTTACCCAGCAATCACGGGTAAATCATATTATTGACCACAGAATTGACTAATGGCATCATGATTAATGGCTGTTTAGAGGAAGAGGAGCGGCAGATGATTCATCACAAGGGTTAAAAGAGCAAGTCAGGAGATGTTTGTCCCCTAGATACTCAAATCAACAATTAGTGATGTTTTGGAGAGTGGACAGTACCAGGTCTGAGGAATCTGTTGATTTCTCCCTTTATGGATTTGTGAAAATATTTCCTTTCCTCAAGTTATGGAAAAACAAAGACAGAAAAGACAAAATCATGCAAGTTAAAAAAAAAAAAAAAAACTAGCAAACCATGCATGATAAGAGATGTTTTGTTGTTGTGGTTGATGACTCATGTTGCAGTGGCTGGTTTTCCACAGATGTCCATTGTGCCATGTTACCTCTGGTAGGATGATCAAAAGTCAAGAGCAGGATGTAAGATCTCTTTCTTATTCTTTCCAGTGTGTTTGTGTGTTGTGCAATGACAGATCTGAATATTGCACTAAAGCAATGAGATCTCATGGGTTTAAGTCATACAGACATTGAGACAGCAGATTACAAAACAGCTGATTTGACACAAGAGGTTATGCTTTTGATAGCAATGGACCACAGGATTGTTTTTTTAAAGGTATAAAATGCCATAAATGTTTGATATTTGAATATTTTGGTCTTGAAGATGTTTCTCTTAACTTTTTTTCCCAAAGGAATTCATTGCTGTGAGAGTTCAGGATCCTCGCGTTCAAAATGAAGGGTCGTGGATCTCATATCTGGACTTCAAAATTTTCCTTCATGTGAGTATTTTTGCCTCAAGGACTTCTAATATCACAATCTAATAATGTGACTCTTTCCAAGTTCCAAAGACTTTTTAATACTTCTCTGGATAAGAAAACAGATTTAAACAGTTGCCAATATTTAAATTTGCAACTGTCTGTCATCCTGTATTGGTTACAGTATTGGTGTTGATTAAATCACAGCCATGTCCTCATATCATTATTGCTTTATGGGGGTTTCCTTGCTACATGAATATATATATATCTCATAGTTCTTTATAGCTATATATCTTTAGTTCAGTGCTTCATTTATATGAATATCTAGAGGGCAGGGTGGGCTGTGTCGGATATATTTTACATAATACACCATCTTATATCACCACCTTAATAGCCAAATACTGGCCGATATATTAGTCTTTCGCTAATATATATGTTTTTATTCCACTGTTGTTCAATGCATGTTTTTGTCTGCCCTGGTGTTATCTGATCTGAATTTGGTCACTTACTTGGTTTCTGTCACCAGACAAACAGCAAAGCATTCACTGCCAAAACATCCTGTGTGAGGCGGCGATACAGCGAGTTTGTGTGGTTGAAGAAAAAACTGCAAAAGAATGCTGGTCTGGTGTAAGTTCCTTTGCACAAACAAATGACTGTATAGCTGCATGTATGTCTCAGCCAATGTGCTTTTAAAAAAAAACTAATATATATATATATATATATATATATATATTACACTGTAAATGAAGTGCTGCTTAAAC